ACGTCCGGAGGTGTCCAAGCCCCTCCGAGACCGCCTTTTCGAGGTCCGACCAGTCACGATGAGCTATTATAGCCGAACCGGGGACCTTATGCAATCGATTCTGCATCTCGTCTTCGTCGTTCTGGGTCGCCTCTGTGCGCTCCCTCCTCCTCCCCTGTACGCACTTCTCCTCCCTTCGGTCTTTGTCTCTTCGTAGCACGTGGTTCGCGCGTCACGTGTTCGCGTCGACCACGCTTCTTCACATTTGGTCTCTATCTATCTCTATCTTTATCTCTCTCTTTTTCTACCCCCTATCCTCCTCCCTCACGAAAATTTCCTCCTTTCTCGAAGAAAAAAAAAAGAAAGGTCTCGAGAGGTACGGCACATTGCAGTGGTATACAACGTGAAAGAAACGACGGGCATTAATTGGAGAGGAGAAGCGGCCGCGAAGGGCGAGGGCACACGGTGAGAGAGGTGCCGGTGAGAAAAGAGAAAAGGAAAAGAGAAAAGGGAAAAGAGAGAAAAAAAAAAAAAGAGTCGTTAGGATCGAGGAACACGCGTTTCGAGGATTCTCGCGAACGAGGTGTTGATTTCTTCTTCTTCTTCTTCTTCTTCTTCTTCTTCTTTTAAGTCACTTAGGTATGTTAGATTAGCTAGGTTAGTTAGTTTTCCATTCTAGGTTTTTCTAACCGCCGCCCAAAGGCGTCTGTCCTTTTAAAACCGATCGTACGTGATCAAGTTTTTTAGTCATATATGATATTAACGATATTAACCTCGAAGACTCGAGAGACTATGTATATATATATATGTATACGTAGCAGTATGTATAAACGCGTTTTTAAATATTGTTTTTTTTTTTCTTTTTTTTTTAAATTTCGACAAATTTCTCTTCTCATAGACTGAAATTGATAATATTTTTTTATTGACGGGACGGAGAGGAACAGTAGATCGCGGATCGCGGATCGCGTTTCTTTCGAGGAACCTTCTCGCGTTTCTCTCTCATTTTCTTCGTCTTCTTCCGTTTTCTTTGCTTCTCCCTTTCTCGTTTATTCCCCGTTCCGCGGGATATAATATCTCGGCGTCGCGGATCACGCGATCGATAGTATCGCGGGCGGTAGGCGTGTTCACGACAGGCGTAATGCGCGTCTACGCGGCGTCTGCCTTCCGGATAGCTTGCATCCAGGCGTGATGGAAATTCGTGTCGTGGACCGTGTCGAAAAGAGAAGAAAAATGCAAAAAAAAAAAAAAAGAAAGAAAAAGAAAAAAGAAAAGGGCGCGAAAACAGAGAGGAAGGAAAGAGAGAGAGAGAGAGAGAAAGAGAGAAAGAGTAGGGAGAGAGCGTGCGAGAAAGCAGAAAGATATGAGAACGAGTGAAAAGAGAAAGAGAAAAAGAAAAAAGAAAAAAAACGACGAGACAGACGAGAGAGAGAGAGAGAGAGAGAGAGAGATGTTCGCTCGGGTATCGGGTATCGTCGCGAGCGATTGCTGAAAATTCATTGCTGAAAACCGAACCTATTAATCGTGATCAAGATATACGTAATAGGATGTAAGGCTTAACGATGCGCGACAAGATGAATTTTGTGTCTATTTTTAAACGGGAACTTGTTCGATTTATTCTCTCTAATTTAATAAGAATCGCGCGCGTGAGGAGAAAGTGAGAGGGAGAGAAAGGGAGAGAGAGAAAGAGATTGTGCGATCGAGCGAGTGTAGTGGACGGATGAAATATTTCACGAGAAATGCTCGTGAAAAATCGTTTAGCGATGGTAGACGTATATAGTTTCTAACTTATTAGTAGCTTTCGATTAGTGGTTACCGAGCAGAATGAGTAACTGATCGTTCTAACGTGATTGGGTAAGAAGGGCACGAGGGACGCTAAGCTGTTAACCCTTTGCACTCGAAGATTCTTTTCGAGGAAGTACGATCGATATCAAAAGTGACGAAATCTTTTTAAAATTAACATAAAAACTTGGACTTGAATTTCTCGTGTTATTGTAAACAATATTGTTTCGTTCAAATTAGAATTCTACGAGGAATAAATTGCTTTTAAAAATATACTTGAAAAGTTTCGAAGATGGGATACTAGCTTCACGAGTGCAAAGGATTAATTCTATTGCGATAGATGGACGATTTCATCCTGCTTAAGTCACCTCGATAGATCCTTCATCGTTTAAAAAATTTCCTTTCGATAATAATATCGCATAATGCGATCAACGAACGTAACTCGAAGATGTTTCGGATCTATCGATATCTTAAGCAGGGTTGGACGATCGCGAGGTTAAAAATATTTTCTCGTGTGAAGAGAACCGTATTTATGTACGATACGAATCGCGATTGACGAAAGAGCGAAGAGAGAGCCGAGAGCCGAGCGAGATGCCCAGAAGTCGTACGCGATCGAATTATCCAACCACCGGAACAACTAGGTCTCGGTACTCGTAACTAGGGAGTTGTGTGAGGTACAAGTCCTGGCCGGCAGGGCGCGCGAGGTCCACCCCCAATCCCCGTACTTAATAACCCTTGAACATTGTGCTGCAAAAAAATATATATATACATATATATATACACGTATATATATGTAAGAAAAAAGAATGATGAAAGAATGTAGAAGGCAAAAAGATGAAATTTCTCGTCTTATCTATGTATCATGTACACGGATAAGAAGGAGAATCGAGGGAGGCAAGGAGAAGGCAAGAAAAAGGAAAAAGAGAAACTTCCTAGAAATTCTGGTGCCCCCTAGAAATAAAACGAGCCTCGAGAGCTTCTTTAGACCCTGGAATTAAAATAACCTGCAACATGTAAATCAATTCATATGTGATACACCGACACTCAGGCATATACTTAAATATTTATATACATATTTTTAAGGATGACACGATTCGTTACACGAATCACACAAGTAAGAAGATTTTTTAAGCAAATGATTATTATTATACACACGTGTTTCGAGTTTTTTAATCTAATGACACGCGCTTCTCTTATTTTTCTTAACGATTCAATACAATGATGAAATGAAAACCAATATAATATAAATATAGATAATTACAAACAAATAAAACACTGTTATACTGTACATGAGCAGTGAAATGCTTGCATACTATTATATCGCGGGTCCACACAGGAACACATCTTGTCGATGACAAGATACGTAACAGGGAAACAGGGTGAAGGGCACCAGAGCGGGGGACAGCGTTCTCCGAGCTTCCTCCTTCTTCTTCTCCATCGAGTTCTCCTCGAGAAACTCGCTGCGCCGATACGATTCGGCCAGCTTTAAAACGAGACGGAGATTAAAAAAACAAAAAAAAATAATAAAACAGATATATGCCATATATATTATATTAAAAGGAAAATAAATAAATAAATGCAAGGGTGTGTACGGAGGTTGGAAGGTGGGCTTCGGCACCAGTCGGTCGGAACCCTAGTTACGAGTGCCGAACCTAGGGTCGAGAGATCTTGGATACACTTGGTCTCTCGGCTTCCCTTTCATCCCCGCAAGATAATGATACGATGGATACGCATGGAAGTCACCATGTCTGAAGATAAAAAAAAAAAAAAAAA